AAAAATTCTCTAGTTCTGTTAACCTCATCATTTTAAGTGGGAGTAAATAAAAAAATTTAATTTGGACAATTTATATTCCAATTTCCAATTCATCTGTTTCAGTATTTATCTTTTTTAACTTTTTTTTTTTTTTTTTTCTTTTTTTTTTTTTTTTTATTAAAATATAAAAACAAAAATATATTTACAAAAAAAAAAATAATAAAAAAACAAATATATGTAAATGAAAAGAGTGATAAAAAAATATAAAAAAAATATGTTATTTAAAAAAAAAAAAAAAAAAAATTAATTTTGAGTTTTTTGAATTTTTTTATTTTATTTTATTTATAGACCATCATATACTGAATTCTATTATTATTATGGTACATAATTAGGTATATAACTACAAAAGTTTTGCACTAACTTCTGTCTATCAGTTAAGAGTTGCTGAATAAAAAAGTTAGTTTATACACATATTTAAATGATACCATACCTATTTATTTACAAAATTAAATTAATTAGTTTTTCATTTTATTTTTAGATATTGATTTTATTGGACCATTAGTTTCAGATTTAAAGATAACCACGAATTTTTGACTTACCCCTTCAATAAGAATGGTGAAAAGGTTAACACGACTTTTATTAATTTATTTTTAGAAAAAATTTTAGTAATTTAATTATGATTATTTAACTTTAGTTATTTTAATTTTTTCTTCAAAGCCTTATTACTTTATTTTTAAAAGAATTTTTAATAATTTAATTTTGATTATTTAATTTTAGTTATTTAATTTTGATTATTAACTTTAGTTATTTAATTTTTATTTGTAATTCATCGATAAAGTTCTGTAGCTTTCAGGTGTATCGATATTTTCACTCTAAATATCTGTATTCAATATCTTGGTAAACTTCCCGAGCCTGTTGACTATCTCTGACACTTCAAAGCCGCAATGTAGTCACATTGTGATATATGTGATGGAACCCCTATCTGAAAGATGGTTACAGTTAGAGCTCCACTCGGAGTTACAGGAATATTACTAAGTTTAATAAAGAAATATAGTTATAATAGAAATATAGTTTAGAAACCTTTATTTAAGTATTTTAGTTATTATATTATTAATTGTTATTGTTATTAGAAGTTAATATTTAATATATGAGTCATTAATAAAGAATTATTACTGAAGTATTTATACTATCATAAACAAGTTGACATGAATGTATATATATGTTAAACATGTGACAGTTTCAACTAAATATATTATAAATGGAAAATTATTACTATTTTAAGAGATATTATTATAAAACTTATTATTACTATTTTAAGAGATATTATTATAAAACTTCTTATTACTATTTTAAGAATTATTATTTGAAAACTTTCATTATCTTTATGAGGTATCATTACATATATGTAATGAAGCTCTATACAGCTTACAAATAATTAAGTATATATATGTAAAATAAGTATAACAAATAAACAACAAATAACAAATATTATATGTGTAATGAACATGTAGTTTATTTAATAATATAGAATAAAAAAACCTCTGAAGTTTTAGACTGAGGACTTGAGGTATTTATACAGAATGAGATTGGTTCTAGAAGCTAATTCTTAAGTTATTTGGAAACACTGGAATTGGTAGTTACTAAACAGTAGTTAGAAAACAGCAGTTAGTGACTCTTAATAAGTCTAGGGTCATAGCGTTAATATCATAACAGTATATATGGTCGGACGGGGAGGCAGTTATATTACATATATATCACAGCTTGCTCGATTAGCTCAGTCGGCAGAGCGTGGTGCTAATAACGCCACGGTCGCAGGTTCGATCCCTGCATCGAGCAATTGTTTTTCACAAAACTTTATCTTCCTGGTGATTGTGTGGAAATTCTAATAAATGTAATGTATTATCATCAAAATTCACTTAATTAATTAATTATAACTTAAATAGTCATTTAATCAAACAATTATAATAATTAAAAATAATTTAATTTTAAAAATAAAAAAATAAAAAAATAAAAAAATAAAAAAATAAAATAAAAAATTTTCGAATTTTTCGTTTTATTCAATTTTCTCATAAACTTAAAAATCATATAATTTATTATCTTTATTTTTATTGTTTATTAATTATTTATTTATACTTTAAAGTTCATTTACATTACACTTTTTTTTTTCAAGATAACATTACAATACTAGGGCCCAGTAAAAGTAAAGTTAGTAGAGAATTTTAAAAGGTATTTACAAGGAAATTATTTAGATAGAAAATGTATTCAATTAAAGAAGAAAACGTAGACTCAGTAAAAGTCGAAAATGACATTACCGTTAAACTTGTCGCTGCAGAACAGTACATCAATAAATTGTTGGAGGATGTTAAAAGACTTACCATTGAAAATAAGGACATATCAAACAAACTCAATTCACAAACTCATCAAAATTCAGTTTGTTTGATATGTCCTTATTTTCAATGGTAAGTCTGATGACTATATTTTGATTCTATAAATGTATTATAAATACTATTTTGTAAGTTACTTATTTATATAATATTTATTTAAAAAAAAAAAAAAATAATATTTACCAGGCTAAACTACAAATTAACATTTTAAATTACTTTTTTATGATTCATTTATGATTAACCAAATTTAGAAATTTTTTCTATCTGCATAAAATTGGATAACTATTTCTAAATTGAACATACAATAAAAATATTCTGTTATATGAAAATATTCAAATATATCATAAAAAAAACCAAACAACAAAAAAAATAAAAATAATTTTAAAAATAAAAATAAAAAAATTTTTTTTTTTTTTTTTTTTTTTTGAAAATTTTTTTATTTTTTATTTTAAATAAAAAGATTTTTCTGTAAACTTTTACTTTTTTTTTTTTTTTTTTTTTTTTTTTTTTTTTAATTTTATATAAATCATTTATAAAACTCGACTTAGTGTTAGTTTTGTTTTTATATTTTTTTATAATAAAAAATAAATACCTTATTTATCACTCTTCCCGCCTAATTAATAAATTTTTTAAATTTAATTAAAATCAAAAAAAATTGAGAAACAGAGATAGATATTTAATAATAAATAAAAGTAAAAGGTTATTTATTAAATAATAATAATAGTTATATAAATATAGCAAATATTTAAGCATTAGAAAAAAATGTTTGAATCATTAGTTGCAGATATCATTGCAAAATATATAGGGGAATACATCAAAAATATTAGTTCAGAGCAATTAAAGATTAATGTATTCTCTGGTAATGCTGTTTTAAAGAATTTAGAAATTAAAGGTGAAGCATTACAATCATTCAAATTACCATTACACGTTCAAAAAGGTATAATTGGTACATTAACTTTAAAAATCCCATGGACTGTAAGTTTAATACCTATTAAAATGTACCTTAAAACATCAAAATATTAATTCTTTTTTTACTTTAGAATATTAAATCAAGTCCAGTTATTTTAGAAATTGATTCTATTTCATTATATGCAATCCCTCAGACAGGTTTTGACGTAAGTATACTATATATAACTTCTAAATGGTAATTTATATTAATAACCAAAATTTATTAGTACAATGAAGAAGAGGAAAAAAGAAAACAAATTGAATATAAAAAAAAGAAATTAGAAAAATTCGAATTGATTAGATCATTTAAGGAGGGTAGTGGCAATGAACAGAAATCAACAAAACAGGATACATTTATGGCAAGTGTAATGTCAAAAATTTTAAATAATATACAGGTTAAAATTCAAAATTTTCATTTAAGATATGAGGAAATTAGAGGGGGTAAAGTTTATTCATTGGGTATTTCGTTTGGGTCATTAACAGCACATCCAACTGATAATAATTGGCAAACTATGAATGCATCAGATACAAATGCAAATCCAAATAGCAACAGCTCACTTTTCAAGTATATAGAGTTAACCAATTTTTCAATATATTTAAATAGCGAAAACAAAGAGGAGGCATCCATCCAATCTATAGTGGCAAAGAATGATAATCAATTGTTTATAAACAAGTTGAATAGTATGATTGGTTTACATAGCAACTTGGGTCATCATCAATATATATTGAAACCAATCACTGTCAGGTTAAAGATCGAATTGAATCGTAATCTAGACATGAATCTCGATGTGCCACGTATGAGAGTCTATTGTAAATTTGATCAGATTTCATTTGTAATAGAAGAGAACCAATATCAAACCATCCTCAAACTACTCACCACAATTGGTAACTATGCGCAAGAAATAAAGTATCTAAAGTATCGTCCCAAACAAAGACCAAAGCAAGATCCACGTGGATGGTGGCGTTATGTTGGCGAGGTAATAAGAGAGTCAATTCGTGAAAAGATACAGAAACGTTCATGGACATTCATTCAAAAGCGTCGTCAACATCGTAAAGAATATGTATTATTATTTAAAAAGCTACAGAATGTAGATTGGTTAGAGCCACTCAACGAAAAGGAGATAAAGCAACTATCAGAAATGGAGGAGCAATTAAGTTTCGAAGATATCATTTATTTTAGATCATTGGCACGTAGAGAATTGGCCATGGAAACCGAGATTGCAGATCAAAAGAAAGGTGAATTTTATGCAAGCGTCAAAAGAAATGCATCGAAAAGTTGGTTTAGTTGGGGTTCAGCCTCTGCAGCAACCACCGAGGCACCACGTCTTTCGATTCAATTGACCAAAGAACAACAAAATGAAATTTTAAAATCGATGGAATACGACGAAATCGCACTTAGCGCAACCATTGAAATGCCACCACACTATGTTTCCAATATTATTGAGGTTCAAATTGATGCCGTAATCTTCACTGTTATTGGTAGTCGTGTTGGAGAGGATCCACTAATTAAATCCTATTTAAATAATATCAATTTTAAATTATCACAAAGAGCCCAAGGTTTTAAATTAGAATTAGATTTAGAATCATTCAATGTATTAGATAACAATAAAAATAATTCTTTATTCTCTTATGTAGTAACATCAAAACCAAAATATAAAAGATCAAAAGATAATAAAATTAAAGAAATAAATGATAATAATAATGATAATAATAATGATAATAATAATAATAGTGATAATAACAGTGATAGTCAAGATATAATTGAAAATAATAATAATAATTTAAATAATAATTTATTTCATATTATATTCGAATCAAAACCAATTAATTCAAGTTATGATTATGCATTATCATTAGTATTAAAATCATTAGAAATTATTATCAACAAACAACAAATTGAAAGATTGGTAGAGTTTGCAACACCAAAAGAAACAGTAAATTTATTTAGTTTATCATCTGCCGCTTTAGAAGAATTTATATTATTAAAAGAAATGACTATTTTTCAATTACGTGAAGTTGTAAATCATCACAAAACCATTGATTTGTTTATCGACGCTAAAGCTCCAATTTTAATTATTCCAGAGCATTACTCAACCAAAGATATTACAGATGATACAAATTTAATAATTTTAGATTTGGGTAACTTTTTAATGCAATCAGATATATCAAAGAAACCAAGAAAAACAATTTCAATTGAAACTCCCTTTATAATAAATGAACAAATTACAAAATTGGTTGACCAAGAAGAACAGGAATATAGTGATGATAATAATAATAGTGATAATAATAGTAATAATCAATTAATAGCGCCAGAAATAACAAATACAATAACTACAGAAGCAACAGCGACAAATGATGAAGAGGATGAGAACTTAAAAGTTTCCGATTTATATGACCATTATAGAGCAACGTTATCATCAATTAAAGTATTATTAGCAACTCATAAACAGGATTGGTACTCGCCCGATGAAAATAATTCAAAAGGTTATCAGATAGTTGAAGAAATGTCCATTAATTTACATATTCAATCATGTATAGAGCCAAATGAACTTTCATTAACAATGTTTAAAGTTAGTGGTGTTTTACCTCAGGTCAAAATGAATATTTCCGATAATAGTTACTTGCGTTTATATAGGATGGCAAATACCCTTAGTAGAATTCATTCCAAAACAACAACCACTACCATCACCGCATTCAATCATTTCAAGGATATCTACTCTAATACTCAAGATACATTTGTGCAACAAGTTGATGCCACCACAACTGAGATCAAACTATCTGATGCATACAAACAGGTTTTATCAAAAAGAAAAATATTTGATGCTTCTTTCAAATTAGAAAAAGTATTAATCAATATTCTGTCATTGAAAAGCGGTAGTTCCATCGTAACAACATCGAACACAAGCAATAGTTTATTACAATTACGTATTTCAAATTTACAGGTATCATTAAAGAAACGTACATACGATTATAAAGGTCACCTCTTATTAGGTTCATTCGAGGTTGAAGATTGCCAAGAAACCTCAGAGAGATTCAATTGCCTAATTACTAGTCAATCAAGATATTTAACTTCTAGCGGTCAACCAGCAACAGCATCATCATCAACTTCGTCATTACCACCAATTACAAATAGATTAATTTCAATCGATACAGATCTTATTGATAAAGAGTCACCAAATTATCAAAATATAGATACAAATATAAACTTTTCTTTTGGCGAATTAAATTTTAATTATAATCCAAAGTCAATAGGTAAAATTCTTTGTTTCTTAGATTATTGTTTTGAAGAAACTTTTACTTTAAAAGAACAGTTTTCAAATATTACAATAAATAGTAACTCAATTTCATTAAATACAAGTCTTTCATCAACACCATTACCAAACTCTTCACCCTTATTATTATCAAATAATAATAATCAAAATGAATTAGAACAACAGATTTTAAATTCAAAATTATTGCAGCAACCACAGCAACAGCCACAGCAATTACCAGCAGCAACTAATTTTAATATTAAAGCTAAAGCCAGTATTTATTCTTTATCAATATCTTTAAATGAGTCTGGCAGAGAGCTAGGTAGATTTTCAATTAATGAATTTGCAATTGATGAATGTATAATATCAGGTCGTTCATTAGAAATTTCAGGTCGTTTAGAAAGTATTACAATTGATAGTTTTCTCGATAATCCAAATGAAGGTTTTAAGATTTTAACACCAAAAGATTCGGGCGTTTCAATGGCAAAATTCAAATACTGTACTTTTAATAATAATCACCATATAAATAATAAATTATCACAACAAAACTCACAACCAATCAACCAATTTGATAAAGAAATCGAATTGTACCTTAAGAGTATAAGATTAACTGTTTTGGTTGACTTTATATTAAAAGCCAAGCATTTAGTTGAATTGCCCTTTAAAACTGTAAAATATGACTCATTGTATAGATATCAACAACAACAAGAAGAATTAAATAAACAAGAACAAAATTCTCCAGATGAAACTATCAATACATTATCGAATTCTACGGATATAATAAATAACTCAAGTTTATCATCGTTCCAACCAATTGGATATAAACCCCAAAAAATTAATTACAAAGTATTTTTAGAAAGTCCGCAGGTTATTCTATCCAGCAGTGATGATATTCATAGTGACCATGATAGAATTATAGCTGAATTGGGTTCAATTGATGTTAAAACTACAATTATTAGAAATAAAGAAAAACTATTATCAATTAATGAGGATGATGGTGATCAAGAGGTTAATGTTGATTGGGAATCAATTGAAGCCAATCTATGTGATATGAACATCAAAACTTTCAAAAATGGTGTTTATCATCAAGTTTTACACAATTTATCGATTTATAACAAGATTGAAACCATTCTATGCGACGAATTTGGTAGATATGTTCCATTCCAGAGATTACCACAACAAAAGAAAGTCGATGTTAATATTAAAGAAATCAAGGTTGAATTTTTAGATTTAGAGCATTCATTAATTTTTTCACTAACTAAAGACGTTATAAATAGAATTACTTCAAAATCTCCCAAAGATTTACTGTCTTCAAAATCTTCAAAAAATCAATCAAAATCAAATTCTTTATCAAATTCAAATAAATTATTACCTCAATTACCATCATCAGTTCTTTCACCTACTAAATCAAATAACTCGGATGAGCTATCTTTGTCATCAAATAATATTTTAGCATCATCATCAAATTTATTTGTAAACAACGATAAAAAATATTTAGTAAATTTAATAAATTTAAATATTTCAAGTTTCCAATTAATTATGAAGCTAGATCCATCGACAGCCGACAGTAATGATTTTAGTACTATACAGGTAACCAATATTTCGTTATCATCAGAATCTTGCGATAGAAACACAGTATCCTCAATGATTGTAACAATCGATGATATGATATTATATGATGATAGGGTTAATAATAAAGGCTATAATAAATTATTAGAAAAGCAAGATACCAGCTCAAAATTACCATTGGTCAAGATAGAGATATTAAGTTTTAAAGAGAAGAGTATCGAAGATAATTCAATGTGGGATAACAGTATTTCAGTAGAGGTCCAACCAATCAAATTTGTATTGTCCCTTGGTTTAATTTTAGGCATTAAAGATTTCTTTTTATTACCATTTGTTACAACATTAAATAGTGATCAATTAAAAAATTATAATGCAGATTCTATTGAAGTACCAACATTATCTGGCGTAGTCGAGTCATTAGAATCTAATCCACCCTCAAAACTTAAATTATCAGTAGTTGCTCATTCACCACAAGTCATATTACCAATTTCTAATCACTCATCAAAGGTACTGGCTATGGATATTAAGGGTGGTGTCACATTAACCAATACTTTTACCCCATTGTTTGTGGAATCAGCCTCAACTGCTTTTGATTACGAGCAAATGTTTATTTTATTATCAAATGCAGATTTCACAATTTATGAAATCTCCAAAGAAACTATCTCAAGCAATGAAAACAATGAAAATGATTGTTACAACTATCAACTACAATATTTAGAAAAAATCACAAAAGAGTCTTTTAATGTTCAAGTAAATTATTCTAGCTGGGATTCTATCTATACAAACACCATTGAATTGTTAACCTTAGGTAAGCAGCCAACAGAGGTTACAGTATCAATCGAGAAATTATCTTTACTAGTTAATGAACTCCAATATCAAGCATTTTGTGATATGTTAGCTCATTTACTTCGTAATATGGATGACACTCCAAAATTAAAACTTAAGAAACGTAACCCATACATGTTGAATGTTCTCTTGGATAAATCAAGCCCACCAGAATCACTCCTCGATATTTTTGGTATGAAGGTTTTCTGTAAATTCAATATGGTGTTTATCGACCTCTTGTCAAACGATGGTCAATCAATCGATTTCGCTAAATTGGTACTTGACAATGTTGATTTATCAATAGATATGGCAACCGAAAATAGACCAAAGAAAATGCTAATCAAAGGTACTGTTGATGAATTAAATGTTTTCGATTGTAGAGGCAATCTCAAATCAAAACCATTTAATATTTTAGAAAGATACTCCAAATCTTTACCAATGATGGAGTTTACCCAATTAATGTATCAATCAAATTCGCCATTCTTCCAAAAAGATCAATTACATTCAAGTTCATTAGATTTCAATTTAAATAATATCAAAGCATTTGCATATCCATCTTTTGCATTGCGTGTTTGGGATTGGGTGGTTTTGTCTATCACTTCAGTATTTGGTAGTTACCAACACGATAAGTTTGATGGCAGTTGTGACACTAATGAAGAAAGAGAACAAATGTTAATTTTAGAAAAATTGAAACATTCTTCAAATGGTCAAAATAATAGAATGAAAATGAACGTCGTTTTACCAAATCCTATTATCATATTACCATCAGATCAAGATAAGAAAGTTCACATAGAAATCAAACCTAAAGAGCTCTGCATCTATAATGAGTTCTTTTTAAGAACCAATTGTTTGGGTATTCCAGATTATCAAGATGCCATCAACATTTCATTAAATGCTATTGATATTAATTTATTAACCCATAATGGTATTACCGAGTCTAGTATTGTTAGAAACTCAAATTTATTAGTAACAATGGAAACTATTTATAGCATCTATCAAGAAGATTTTCACAGTTCCAGTGGCTCATTATTGTCAACCAATAAATTCACAATAAAATCACCTTCTTTGGAGTTTAAATTTGACCAGGTCCAATACCACCATTTCTATCATTGTGTAAACAATGCATTAAAGCATCAGTACGAAATGGATTCTTTAGAGAATGAAATCTTTTTAAAACCAAATTTCAATCCAAAACCAAATGATATGGTCACATCTATTTTACTAGATTCAATCAAGCTAAAAATGTTGGATCAAGATCAAGACGAAGAGGATCAAGATGAAATTCATTCAGAAATTATAATTTCAGATCTTAGTTTAGAGAATATTATTAACTCAAAGGATGGTTCAATGCAAGTTGTAGGTTTGTTGGGTAACCTAAAAATAGAGGATTCTATTAACCAAATTGTTATTCTCGAGCCAATTGCTTCAAATTCTGATAGATTCTTTACAATGTTCAAATATAAAACTATTGGTAATGGGTTATCCACTATAAAAGATCCGTTACAATGGGACACCGAGTTTGAATTTAGCATGAAATCAGTACAATGTAATCTATCACTACCAAATATCAATGTTCCTCTTGCCATTCAATCATTTTTATTATCAGTTTTAGAAAAATACCCAATTGCCACTAGACCATCAAAGAGTAAATCTGAAGACCAAAGTGGTATCAGTAAAACTAAACCAAAAATGAAAATTGATATCAATTTATTATATTCAAAAATTATAGTATCACCATACTCAAACTCATTATCAATTGGTGGTATTGGTAGTAGCAATATTAGTTCATTTAAGCCAACTGGTTTTTCAAATTCCACAGTATCATTATTGTCATTGTCTTCAACTAATTTATCACCCTACGAATATATGGTAATTTCATTCAATAATGTATCAATGAAGCATCAAGCAAACCAATTAGACAAGTTGGACGATAGCGATCTATTGTTACTAGATATCGAAAATATTAAATACAAAGTATCACAGCTTCAAGTCGAAATTATATTGGCTCAACAAAAACCATATTACCTTTTTACCGATATAGATGTTGATGTTAAGCAAAAAACAATTAGAAATTACGATCAAATTATAAACAAAATTCAATGGGAAGATAATCCATTAGATAAATTAAATAAAATTGATGGTGGTGAAGAAGAAAACGAAAAAGGAGATGCTACTTTGAAAAAAGAAAAAGAAGATGAAGATGAAGATGAGGATGATACAGAAAACTATTCAAAATTGTTTAATGATGATATTTTATTATTATCAAAATCAAAAACTTCAATTCATTCAAATGCTTCACAAATTGATTTAAATTCAAATCATTTTCAATTTTTATGGAGTTTATATCAATCGATTGGAAAAATCAATGGTAATAACGATGATAGCAACGAAAGTGAATCCACATCAACAACAGACACACCATCAAATAAAAAGAACCAAAAAGATCAATTATTAAATATGATTGAACTCCAATTAAAAGATATTAGAATCAATTTAATTAATGAATTTCATAAACCAATTTTAAATATTTCATTAAAACAACTAGAGACCTATCTTTGCCAATATGAATCGACCAATAAACAAAGCATTTTCAAAATTATCGGTTCAATTAAATCATTAGAAGCAAAGGATATCAGAAGAGAAAGTATTTTAAATTCCAAATATCAATGCCTTTTCACTGACAACCCATTATCCCAAACACCAAATCTTATTCAGTTTACATATAAACCATGGAGATTAAAATCAAAAGAAGAGTTGTTCAATGATTCTAATTCAAGAAATAATTCAAATCCGGATGCACCAGGCAAATGGGATCAGCATTTATCACTTACAATTAAAAATGCTCAAATTACACCCATTTTCGATTTGTTTTCAGATATCCAGAACCACTTCTTACCATCTTCATTAATTCAAGAACAACAAGAGAAAGATAAAGATCAATTAAAATCTCGACTTAAATTAGATTTATCACTAGATTCAAATAGTTTTATTCTACCAATGAATTTTGAAATTAAAAACTATTACATTAGAAATGACATAAAGAAGTTAATGATTTCAAATGACTATGAGATCCAAAATATCAAAGATTCAGTAACGTCAACAAAACATTCAATTGAAACTACAATTTACTTGGTTGATATTAATGGTTTTACAATGGAGTCAACTATGGATGTTATATTAGAATCAAACGAACCAAGACAATCACGTATTATTCGTGATTCTAATATTTTCATAATTACTAAAATGTTAAACACTCCAGAAAATTTCAAGAAACCAATTTCTACACCAAACATGCAAACTTCGATCAATGTCGAGTCGTTAGACTTCCTCTTTTGTTTAGACGAATATAAATTCATGTATGATACTTTAAATACCACATTAAAGAGATACTATGACTTTAAATTTTTACCATTGTTGCCCAAGCAACCGCCATATCAACCAAACGAAGAGTTAAGCAGCTATGAATTAAATTCAATAGATAACAAAACCATATTAACAATCAACTCTTTAGTTATGAATATGTTTAAACGTCAAAAGCCATTAACCAAAGAGAGCTTAACCCATATCAAACCCCTAGGTCAAGTAATATTAAAGAAATTGTTAATGGACGTTGACATGTGCAAATTAAATCTTAAAATGGTTGGCTCTGTATTATCATGTTTTGTTCGTTCCATTAAAACAAAAGAAAATAGCAAATCATTGTATTTGGATATATTGAAACCCAAATATAATTTCGATTCAAGTGACCAAGATGACTCAATGATTAAATTTGAATTCATTTCTCATTCAGAACCTGTTTCTATTGATGGTGATAAATCTCCACTCAAGATTAAATGGGACACCCAATACAGCGTAGATATTTCAAATATTATATTGGTTAGTAAAATTGCAACATTGTTAAAGATCAAAGATTTTATTTTAGAACCATTACAAACACCGTTCGTCCAAGCTCCATCCAACAAGCCTGCAAAGGATCCAAATTACAAACCAAAAATGTATCAAGTGCTTAAAATGAAACCATGGACTTTGGAAATTCCCGCATCAGATACATCTCAAGATATGATTTCAATTGAATTTGGACAAATCGACATGATCAATTATTATAAGCTATTTGTTGATAATAATGGTTTTACAGTTAATCAACAAGTCGAAGTTTTATTACTCGATATTAGCCAATTTACGCTCTACACCCAAACAGAGAATGGTATAATGTTGAATACAGTCTCAAATTCACCCTCTTTACAATTACAGGTTGAAAGACTATTTACAATTAATAATCGATCCCTAGAGGACATCAGAACACTTGCATTCATAAAGAACCTAGACTTATATTTCTCTGCCAATGACTATCTATTCATCTACACAATTTTCACTGGTAATTGGATGTTTAACGATTTAGAAGAGACCTCTATCCGTCCACCAGACCCACCCGCCACACCAATCTGGAATGGTTGCAGCAAGTTTGTATACATGCCATTAGATCACTGTGACCAAATGAAAGTCTCTGAAAATCAATTTTCATCTCATCTAGGCTTTATTAATGTATCAGAGAATCAAGTTTTACAAACATTCAAATTGGATATTGAAACATTTAATTTCCATATGAACCCGGTATATGATCCTTTGGCAATCTTAATAATGGAGAATCTTACATTAAATTACACAATGTATCGTGATGGTATTCAAAAAACATCGATGGAGCTTTTGAATGTATTACTTTTAGATGAAAGAAACAACTCATCGTGTGTATTTAAAGAGATTTTAACCCGTAAACAATTCGACTCTTCTACCACAACTCCAAAAAAATCTTCATCTGTTAATTCACCATTCTCTCCATTATCACCACAATTCAGTAGCAGTAACAAAGTAAATGATGATAATACAATTCCTCCACATATTGTCATTGACTTCTTAATGGATCCAAATCATAATAGACAATTTACTTCAATTAAAATCGATCATCCAAAATTATTCGTTTCACCCAATTCAATTTTACCATTATTAGATTTCTTCACTACAATCCAACCTCAAGTTGAAAATGAAAAGAATAATACCAAACCAATATTATTAGAGGATGAGTTTTTTGATCAGCTCTATGAAAACCAATTAAAATCATCAGATTCACAATTCCAACAAAAAAAAGCAGCCCAACCAAAATCACCACCACACACTAGATTCTACCTTCAAGTTACCAAGCCAAAACTATTACTTGTAGAAGATGAAACTCAACAAAATACAAATGCTCTTGTCATGAAAATGCCAGTTGAATTCCACTACTCTAGAACATCAGATTTAAATCAAACTATGGAATTACACGCATCAAAATGCCAAGTTTTTAAAACCACACCTTTCTCTGATACTAATAATTTCATTTCGACACCAATTACCAATTCATTTGCTTTCAACTGTATTTTCATTCAATTCAATGCTAATGATCAACAAACCATTGAAATGCGTTTCCAACCTTTAAACATTGGTTTATCTTACAAAGAGTTTTTAATGATTCAAAGATTAATAAATAACTTATCATTTGGTAACTATAAAAAACAATTACAACAACAAAAAGAGCAACAAGAGCAAAAAGATAAGCAAGAAAATGAAAACGATGAAAATGGTTCCTCCTCAAACAAAGAAGAAGAAGAGATAAAATTACGATATAGAGAGTTGGAGAAAAAGAAAAAAGAACAAAGAGAAAATTCAAAATCAAAATCATTAATTGCTCCAGGCAGACCAGATGAAAGTAGTAGCTTTATGCACAAAACAAGAATTCATGTAGAGTTTTTAGGTAGAATTAGTTTAACATTAATTGATGAAGCTGTAACAATGAAGGATATTCCATTCATCCAAATGAATATTGGTGAATTCAGATCAGATTTCTGGGGATGGGAAGAATACTCTTTCTTGACATGTGATATGTACCTAAAAGTTGAAGTATTCAATCAAAAACATATGGCTTTTGATTCGTTGGTTGAACAATTCCAATTAAATGTTCAAGTTCTTCAATCTGACGATCCAAAATTAAAAGTTTCATTAAAATCACTTTCACCAGTTAACATTAATATCTCACAACCATTTATTCAAGCTCTTGGAAATTTCTATCAAAATATTTTAAAGATTGATAATGAAAATAGTCTAAATATGAACAGTCCAAGTAATAGTAATAACTCAAGTTTAAATAATAGTTTAAATAATAGTGTCAATGGTATTTTATCTGCAAATAATAACAATATGGCAAATAGTTTTAGTTCACCAGAACTGGTTCTTTTTGATGCTAATGACGAATTTGTCTTGCAAAATGACAATACAAGCCCTGTTAACACAATAAAGAAAACAACCATTGCAACTCCAAAAGGCACAGGTAATCAAAACAATAGTAACCAAAGTGCTTCCTCTTCAAGAGGTCACCAAAGATCTTTTTCAAATACCATACATGACCTATCCATCACAACAACACCAGGATGGAGAAAACCAATCAGCCAAGATTATTTAGAACTAAATAGTGCAAAGAGTTCACTTAGTAATAGTATTATCAATAGTAAAGTTAGAGATCTGAGATCAACAGTCGATCTATCCTCCCTTAGTAGCGGTATTGGTCAAGTTCGTCGTCATAGTAGACAAGCCTCAGTTACTTCACCATCTTTAAATACTCAATCACTTTATACCACCGAAAGTAACAATCAATTTTGGGTTGTAAATTTAACTGGTAAAGCAATTGAATATTATGTTGAAGATTTAAATTTCATTCAATCATACAATGTCAATAGTGACCAAAATACCAACACTGTTATTAACTTGAACACAACATCAAATAGTAATTTAAATAGTTCATTCAATTTATTTAATAGTAATAATAGTATTAATAGCAATAGTAGTAATGGAAGCTCATCATATTTACCATCCTCTTCAAATATAAACAATACAACTACTACCACAACCACAACCAAAACATCATCAAATAATATTAATAATAACTACAATGATGATGATGATATAAAAATTAATAAGAAATCACATCCAAATGATCAAGTTAAAAAAGTTATAAAGAATCAAGAGAAACAAGGTGTTGAATTAAAGAGTGCATTATTTAAAACTAGAGATTTTAGAACACATGGGTCATTAAATGCCAATATTGCTATTAGATTTAAAGAGTCTGATGAATATCCTTGGATTCATAATGTTTCAATTAATCAAATTGGTGATAATTTTTATTTCCCACCATATGGTAACAAAGCAAATATAGTTGTATGCGAAGTAGGTTGGGATGAAAAGAATGAAACAAAAATTGCCACCCTTCGTTCTCCAGTAATGATTAAAAACTCTTCAAATATTCCAATTGAAATTGTTTTAAATAGTCAAAAGAGCGAACCACAATTATTTGGTCCAATTAGAGTTGAGGAAAAGTATTATATACCCGTAGATTTTTGGAATTCAAACAGCTCAATTTCTATTCGTCCACATGGTAAAGATTTTGATTTTGACGATAAAAGTTTAAATCTTTACGAATCCAGTAGTTGGCCAGAAGCATTTATTTTCGATTGCACAAAGAATATCGTTGAAATGGGAGGTAGCCAAGGTGATAATTCTTTCAAGAGTTTCAGTATTAACGAAAACAATAATAATGGTGGGTCTGCAAGCAACTCTTCAAATTCATTACCACAATTAAAGAAAGAACATTTGTATCTAGGTGCATTAACAAGATCAGGTATTAGATGTGATCGTACTGGTTTAATAACTACAACTTTGGTTATAACACCACCATTAATCTTTGAAAATGTGTTAATGTGTGATATTGAAATTCGTTTCGAACAACATTCAAAGAGAAAATCTGCTGATTTCTTAAGAAATGCTCTTTCAAAACCCTCAACCGTTTTAAGTCCCGGTAAACAAACTGCATGGTATTATAATCAAAGTAATGATACTGGTATTCTCTTATCTCTCAAAGGTTTAGGTAAAAATCAATATTTCCATTTACAAAGCTCAAATTTCAATTCACCACTTTCACTTGCAAGCACTGATGACTCGGACCCAAACAAAGTTCCAATGAATGCATTTACTCAAGAAATCGCTTTCCAATGCACACCAGAATATTCATCGACATCCTATACATTAAATCTCAAAATCGATCATAGATTCGAGGGTGGTTGCCACATCGCAAGTATTTATTGTATCAATGCTATTCATAATCACACAATGATTCCATTTTTCCTTCGTCCTTCAAATATCAAAGAGAAACTTACCCTAGAAACCAATGAAAGTCCACTACTTTTATCGCACGACAAATTCTATATTTACCACCCATCCACACCAAAAGTTGCCTCAAAAGAGTTTGATATTATTTTAGGTAAAGAAGATATCATCGAAATTTATGACAATAAATCCGATCAAATGAGATATCAATTTAAAGCAATTGTATCAACTGGTTACAATATATTCTTTAGAACTCGTATTGTCGATATTTATCCACGTTATATTCTTATTAATAAATTACCAATTGCCTTATCATACACTCAATTCAACAAAGATGTACGTGTAATGGCCCGTGATGCTCAAATATTAGAACCAAATACATCCATTCCATTCCATTGGTACAATGGTAAAGAAGAACAACAACTTTCAGTAACCATTAGTGGTAATATTGGCGAATCCTATCAATATTCAGGAGGAATTCGTATTGATCAAGTTGGTGTTAATTTCCTTAAACTTCGTCATTACCATGATGAGTTAATCGAACAATCAGTTAAAGTTGAAGTTAGAGATTCATCCGAATCTACGTTAGTAATCTTTTATAGTAACGACCCACAAAACTTGCCATTCCACATAAAGAACGAAAGTTTTTCCACTCTAGTATTTTATCAAAAATGCCCAGGTTCAAAGAAATATTCACTAAAACCAAATGAAAAAATACACTATACATGGGATTTCCCAAGTGCCGAAAGACAACTCACAGTTCAAATAGATTTCTTTGGAGAAACAGTTCAACAAGATATAAACTTAAACAAAATCAAAGTATTTAAACCAATTAAATTACCAAATAATCAAACTATCTATCCAATCGTTAACTCATCAAATGGTACAACTAGAGATCTTTTGTTCACCACCCATTATCAAGAAAAGAAAGAGTTGGATTTATTAGAGTTTGCTTTTGAAATATCTTTCCCAAATTTAGGCTTCTCTTTAATTGATGATATTCCACAAGAAATGATTTATATTTCATTCAAAGATTTTAACTATTGGATTAGTTCTTCAAATTTAACACACACCACTTGGTTATTAATCGATGATATCCAGATTGATAATCAACAACCAAATACCGAATTCCAAGTTTTGTTATGGTGTGATAAAAAGAAAGATTCTGAAGCTTTACCATTTTTAGAATACTCTGCTGTAAAATTGAAAAATAGTAAGTAACATTATAAACTATATTTAATCTATAACTTTTTTACATTACTCATACTAATCATTCATTTTGCTTTAAAAGAAAATATTGAATATTATGATTTAATTGCATTATATTTAAATGAAATGTATTGTCAAATAGATGATAGAACTCTATTAGATTTAAATAACTTTTATCAAAAAATACCAATGGAAAAATTCCAAAACAAATATTCAGTATCAATCGAAGATATACCCGAAAACTTTTATATTAAATGGTTAATTTTTGCAGAAATTAAAATTTATCTTACTTTTAGTATTTCAAGAGATGGTATTTTAAGAAGTTACAAGTATGCATACTATTTTATATATAATTTGTAATTTTATAAATATTAATTATTTTTTATTTAAATTTAAAGTAAAATGCCAGCACTTAGATTAGTGGTACCTTCATTAGGCAAATCATTAGGTCAATTAGAGAATGCTCCTTTAAATATTAATCAACTTGGTATAAAGAATATTTTTACAACCAAAGCTAATTTATCACAATTATTAATGTCACATTATACAAAACAAATGAAAAGACAAATTCATGTCATTCTTGGTTCATCAAGTATTTTCGGAAGTCCATTGGTATTCTTTAATAACATTAGTACAGGTATGACTGAAGCAATTGAAGATCCAATTATAGGTTCGATTCAGTTAATGAAAAGAATTTTATATGCTGCTGCAAATAGTTCATCAAAATTATTTGGTACCATTTCAAATGGTTTCGCTACATGGTCTTTTGATGAAACCTATTTAAGAAAACGTGACGCAGAAGAAAAAGTTAAAGCAAAACATATCGCTCATGGTCTCTATTTAGGTTCAAAAGGTTTTGCAATGGGTATTGTTAATGGTGTATTTGGAATTGTCGAACATCCAGTTAGAGGCGCAATGCAAGAGGGAGCTTTTGGTTTCCTCAAAGGTTGCGGTAAAGGTATTTTAGGTATTGCAGTTAAACCAGTTACAGGTGTATTTGATTTTGCCAGTAAAACATCAGAAGGTATTCGTAACAATACAAATATTCATCCAGAAAGATTTAGAATCAGAACTCCAAGATATATCAACCCACGTGAACCAATCAAAGAATACTCTATCGACGAAAGTGAAGGTAACTTTTTATTAAAGAGAAACAGCGAAGATATTGTTAAAAATGAAGGCACACTTAAAATGGAATATAAATTCCATGTCATTTTACCCGACTGCACCTTGTTACTCACCAATCATTCTTTAATTTGTCTTTCAAAGAAAGGTATTTATCGTTGGTCTTTCCCATTATTCGAGATTTCAAAATTAAGAGTAATCAATAATCAAGAAAAGTGCAAATTAAATATTCATCTTAAAAATTATCGTAGCTTTGGAACTTTCTCTCAATTAAGAAAAAAGATTTCAATTCATTGTCAAAACGAATCCATCTTATACCAGTTATACAGCAAAATCACCTCATGCTTTAATAAATCAAATCAATTAGAAATCGAAGAAAACAATGAACAAGATAATGAAAATATGATTGCTATGATTTCCAGAAAATAAAATTAAAATTTATTAACAATAAATAAATAAAATAAAAAATAAAAATAATAACTTTTACAAATTTATTTATATATATATTTCTTTTTTATTTTTATTTCTATTTTTTTTTTTTTTAACCCCTAATTAATCCACAATCTATATCTAAATTGTTTTGGCCTTCCCCATCAGCATAAAAATAATAATCACCTTTTTCATCGACTTGAGAGTTAATTTCTTCGACTTGTCTTGCATCTGCTTGGTTTATAACTGAAATAGTGAATCGATATGTTGGTGGTAAAACAAAATGGACCCTATAACGGAAACCTGAGTGAACTTGGAATTGATATATTCCATTTTCATTTGTTCTGGTCATATTTACTAAAGTGTTATTTGTATCAAATAATTGAATAGTTATATTTGCAATACCCTTTTCATTTGGATCTTGTAAACCATTTTGATTTTGATCTAACCAAACATAATTTCCAATATAAGTATTTGGTAAACCACAGTTTGAATCTATATCACCTAAACCATTTACTTTATTGAATACAAAATCTAAACCAGCACCATGAATTAAAATGAAACCACCTAAAACTCTTCCATTTTGTAAACTCCAATGTTTTAATACAGCTTCATTTGTGGAAAAAAGATCGTATGATCCACCAATTAGTTCACCGCTACCGGGTAAATAAAATGCAGAACCCCACGAGGTTTCATCATGTTGCCAATCTCTATTTCCGAAATTATCATCAAAAAATTCACCACCTCCAGGACCTTGAGGGACCATATTACCAATTGCGATTGGATTAGCTCCAATTAAACCTCCACATACACCTGCTGATTCTAATACATATTGGCCACTTGAATCTTTACATGCTATCAACATATCACCTGCTGGAGTAACAGATTGACTATCACCTTCACGATCTTTGAATGAAATAATCATATTACCACCTCCACCATTTCCAGTAAATGTAATATCAGTAATTTGTGCTTGTGGTTTAAAATTACCCGCGGTATCATTCCAAGGTACCCATGTTGAATTTTGAACTGATGAAAAAATTGGAGTTTGATCACTGAGATACATAATTCTAGTTTGTAAACGACCTCTTGGATAATTTAGTGGAATTACTAAGGCATCGGTGGTGGTTTTTTCGTCATTGTTAATTTTTTTTATAACCCCAACTAAAGCTGATTGATTAAATGATTCTGAACATTCGCAAACACCTCCTACAAACATATTATTACCATCCCATCCTAAACCGAAAATTCTCCATGGTCCATTCTCCCCACAATCATGAGTAATATTGATTAATTTGATATTATCTTTAGTTGGAGTTTCACGGAGTGGAATTTTAACAACAATATTACGATATAAATTAGTCACCCAAATATAATCTCCAACAATATCTAAATCACCAAATAAAATTCTATATGTAAGTGAATCTCCTGAAGTTCTGCCTTGGGGAGCTAAAAAATCAAAACCAAATATTTTTGCTAAATCTGTATACACTGAAACTTGGCCTGTTGATAAATTTTTACGGAAAATAGATGAAGCTGTTTGAGGACTTATACTGGCAAATTGTTTTTTATATGGAGATACATAGAGGTAATTTTGTTTACGATCATATCCTACACCATAAATTGTTCTAGTGTCTGAAAGTGTGAGGATTTCTTCTTTGTCTCCATAATCGTTATTTAAATCTGAAAATGAACCATAAGGGAAACTAACTGCTACTGGAACGTCTTTATTTGTATCACCTTTGACGAAACATGATATAAATATTTTAATTTCATCTTGGCAAAAATCGGTGGGATAAATTATACCTAAATTAACACCAGTTTTTGATGCTACTGGAAATTGTACTGTATCACCTAATGGGTAATAACCTGGTGGAATACCTGAGAATACTACTTGGTATTGTGAACTAATAAATAAATCTGAAAAAGAATAGAATCCATTTTTATCAGTTTTGGTAGTGGCAACTAATTCTGAATTATCGCCTGTATAAAGAGAGACAGTAATTCCTTGAACCGGCTTATCATATGATCCAAATTTATAATTTGCATTGTAATCGATGTAAGTCATACCACTAATATAACCTTTTGGCGAGAGAGATACATAACCAGCATCAACTGAGGTGTCACAAACCAATGTTAAATTTCTAGTTTCTAATGGAATCATAATAATACTTGGATCGTTAACATCTAAATCTATAACATTAGTATAGCCATCAACAGGATTTACATTTGAATCTAAAGTTACATCCTCACCAGAGAAAGGTTGAGTATATGAATAACCCTTAACTAAACTAAAATGCACAATATATCTACCGTGATATAAATCCATAAACTTGTAAGTTCCAAATTGCCCTGTTATTTGAGATTCTACAGTAATTCCAAATGCATTGACGGCAGGTTTATAATCTGATGTTAATAATTTAACTGTAACTCCTGGTAATGGGATTTTTGGAACAGCTTGGATACCTGAACCTTCAACATCTACAAAAGTAACGTCCCCAATACCGAATAAAATTGGAGCTATATAAGTATTTTGATCTAAACAGCCATATGTTGCATCTAGGTTTGGATATTCAGTTTTATTGATTGGGATTGGTCTGGATCTTGGTAAATTAAAAGTTTGTAAAGTTTCGAAAGAAATGAAAGGATTTAAAGAGTTTTTGAACTTCTCAAACATCCAACCATCTGGTAAATTATAAAACATTACTTGATAACCTTCTAAAATTGGTACATTATCAAAATAATAATATCCATTATTATCTGTTATTGTTGGTTGAATAGGAGTGCCATCTACATAGGTTGCAACAGCATTATTACGATATAATGAAACCGAAATACCACCACCCTTAAATCCTGAATCTTGTAAAGTTGTATTATAATAATTTGGAATAACTCTTCTACCAATTGCATATGTTATTAGTTTAATAATACCTGCATTTTGTTGTCTTAAAATAAATACAGCATTAACTTTATCATCAGTAACATTTACAACATTTTTATTTTCAGGCAATGAAACTACTACTTTATCTAGAACTGAGTGATTTAAATGTTGTTGATCGAGAGGACTATAAAATTGATATTTCACACTTGGAACACCTTCAAACGAAATTTGATATTCTCCTTTTAAAAATCCATCAAATTTGTAATAACCATCTGGCCCTGTGATATATGGTTGAATTTGAGAAGAATCTGCATCAATCATAGGACCACCATTTAAATCTAATAAAGTTACCCGAGTTCCGTTGACAGTATCTTCATTTGGATCTTTGATTCCATTTTTATTTACGTCATAATAAACATAACCACTTACTGAGTATAAATAAATATCCGTTTTTCCTTTTAATATACCCGCATTTACTTTTGCGTATACGTAATCTGCATTCTCGGATCCTATATCTATATAAGGATTATATGGATGGACTTTTGATGAGTTATAAAATAAATTTATTGTTCCTGTTAAGCCATATGCATTTGCTACGTTGTCATTTAATTGAACTGTAAATCTGGTATCATCAGGGAGATTAGAGAATTTTGCAACATAGAAACCTGGTAAAACATTGTTAATCCAATAATGACCAGTACTATTGGTTATGGCAACTAATGGGTTTCCATAGATATCAAATGAGTAATCTTTAGTTTTACTCTTTAGATGTCTTAATGAAACTGTTACATTTTCTACAGGTAATTCCTTTTGATCTATTATACCATTTCTATTTGTATCATACCAAACTTTATATCCAACACTGAACATAGAAGGCTTCATTAAACCAATGTTTAAGTTTCTGTCTATATATTGGGCTTGCACAACACCATCTAAATTTGGATTTGTCAAGGTAACATCTGGATTGAAAATATTTAAAAATATACTATCTATTATATCATTTACAGCTTTACTATCATTTGTACCATCACCTTGATTTGGTGTTGTAACTTGATATGTTTTTAATGCATTCCAAAAATATAATTTATAAACACCGGGATCTAATTTGTCAAAATAATAAAAACCCTTTTCATCAGTTGATGTAAAATTGTTATAATCGACATTGCAATCAACATCAATATCTGTAATATTGCATTTGTAAAGAACAATTGTAAACTCTGTGGCAGGAGGTTCATCTTCATCCATAATTCCATTCAAATTGATATCAAACCAAACATAATGACCCATTGCAAAAGAAACTGCATCAATTAAACCTGCATTTTTGTTAAAGTCGACAGCTTGTGCCAAAACTCCATCATCAGGTGTAGAAAGACGTACATTTGGAATTGCTGGGAATAATGAAAATGATGGAGTAACACCGGTATTTGGGTCTGGCAATGTTTTGTTTCCAAACATTAAATCTTTTGGAATTTGGCTAAATTTGATCACATAAGTACCTGAAGTGAGCATATCGAATTTATAAAAACCATTTTCATCGGTTACAGTTGGTTTTACAATTTTTCCATCTAAATTTTTAACTGATTCTCCATTTGGAGTATAGATATCCACTTGAACTCCTGAAACTCCTTTTTCGTCACTGTCCATTATACCATTATCATTTGAATCTTTGAAAACATAACGACCAACAGCATAAGATTGTACATAATGGACATCATAAACTATACCAGCATCAATATGAAAGTTTACAACTAATGCTTTAATTATTGATTTATATTTCGAAGGAGGAGCTTCTAAATATTTTGATGCAGAAAGTTCAATTTTACCTGTTAAACCTTGACTATTTGGATATGAGTTGAATGAATTTGGATCACTTTTATCAATTGGTACTAATTGATTAGTAAAATAATGTCTTGAGGGTGCTTCAAATTGGACGGTATAAAAACCTTCTGGAAGATAGTCAAAAAAATATTCACCATTTAGGTCAGTTCTTGTTGGGAGAACTGGTTGGCTAAAGTGATCTAATACGTAATCACCATTTCCAGAAGCAAGTATAACAGTAACATTTGGGATAAATGGTTCACCTATTTGATAAAGACCATCTTTATTTGTATCATTCCAAACTTGATTTCCTATTGCAAAAAAATAAGGTGGAACTAATTGTAAATTGATCTTTGGATTATAATAAACTGATCTTGGAACTTTATCTGCTGGTAACGTACCACGAACATCCTTATTTAGATTTACCAAATCGAAATCAATAACACCAGTAATTGGATCATAGAATGTGAAACCTGGGGGAATATTACTAAATTCTACATGATATGTACCCGCTCTTAATTGATTAAAACGATATTGACCTTTTGAATCGGTTTTAGTAGGGTCTAATGGTTTTCCTTGAATACTTGTTACTGGATCACCTGAGGAGTCTTTAAGAGTAACTGTAACACCTGGAACACCAATTTGCTCTCCCTTTGCATCTAAATAAAATACTATTTGCCCAAATGCATAAGCTGGACTTCTTACTAAAGCTGCATTTCTAGTTAAATCAGTTCTATTTGCCTCAATAGCATCCAAAGGTGTAGTACCTTCTATAGACTCAAGAAATGGGCTATATTGATCTATTGGAAACTCTTCTAAAGATTGATCCACAGGTACCCCAACGAATGAAGATGATGAAGATGATGAAGATGCTGTCGATGAAGATGAAGATGATTGATGTTCACTTGATTTATTCCCCTCAATAGAGGTTGAACCTCCATTTGGATTTGTGTTTGAGCCTGTTAAAGGATTGAATATATCAGCTATTGCTGTTGCCACATTATTTGCATCACTTGAAACATCATTTTCCATTAACAAAAATTTTTTAGATTTTTTTAATTTTGATGTTTGAACTGTAACTTTAGGTGATAGAGTAAATATTCCAGTTTTGCCATTTAAAAAACTTGGGTAAGGAGAAGGAAGGTTTTCAAAATTATAAGTATTTGGTAGGTTAGAAAAATGAAGTTGATAAGATCCTTCTGCAAGATTATCAATAATATATTTCCCACTTGAATCTGTATAAACTGCTGGAATTGGTTTTCCCCTATAATCTAAAGCAGGTTGCCCATTTAAAGATAAAATTTGAACTTTAATATTCTCTACACCACCTTCACCATCATCTAGTAGACCATTTCTATTATCATCATAATAAACATATCTACCAACAGCATATCGATTTGGTCTTGCTTGGTTACCTAATATTAAACCGGCATTCTCTATGTCATTAATGTAAAAGTCGGGTGAATTGTCTTCTGGAAGAGTTTGTCTGACCTTTGGATCATCTACTGATATTTTGAATATATTTGTAAAACCAGTGTTGGGATTTGGAGCTGAATCAATAGCACTCGATAAACCTGATAATACTCTTTGATCAGTTAAACGTAATCCATTTGGAATATTTTTAAATGCCACATAATATGATCCTTCAGGGATTTTTGTAAATAAATAATAACCATTTGAATCGGTTTGAAGAGGAGCTACTAAATTTCCGTTAATATCAATTGCTTGATTTCCTTTTGAATCATATAGGGCAATGGTAATTCCTTGGGCACCTTGTTCATTTTGATCATATATACCATTAAAGTTTTTATCGTACCAAACAAAAGTACCTACTGAAATGGTTGGAGGAACAAAATAACCTGCATTGGCACCAATAAACATTTTTGCAGCATTAACACCCATTTGTTTATAAGCGGTCGATGTTGACTTTGAAACTTTCTCAATATCCAAAGGATTTGTTTGAGAGGACTCTGGTAATGCTAAAGATCCCATATCTGGTAATGATAAAAAGCTTTTAGGTAAATTTGTTAGACGATATCCTTTTGGTGGTTCAAAATTTACTCTATAAACACCAGGTTTCAAATTATCAATGTAATAAATTCCATTTACATTACTTGAAACCGACTCGACAACTTGTCCAAAAACATTTGTTACTGGTTCTTTTGGATTATTTGAATTTAATAGAGAAACTTTAACACCTGGTAGCGGTTTGTCAGTTCCATATGTAAAAACTCCATCCATATTTGAATCGATGAATGTAACATGTCCAATTCCAAATGAATTGGGGAAAAACAATGGCAAGTCTTTGGTATCATCAAAACGTGGGGCTGTTATTGGTTTGTATGGTTTTTTACTTGATGTTGGAGGCAACTTTTTATCGAGTGTAAATGGTTGAGTTTTATATTCACCTCTTGATAAAGTTGCAAAACTATTTGTTGTTGAATAACCATTTGGTAACTTGAAAGATAAAAAATAAGATCCCTCTTGCACATTATCAAATAAATAATGACCATCTGAATCTGTTACTGTGGTATATGATTTATTTGTAGTTTTGGAGGTTAATTTTACTGGAATACCCATTATACCTTTTTCATTTGAATCTTGAATACCATTTTTATTTTGATCATAAAAAACTGTATCACCAACAGCAAACAAAGGTAAATCTGAAACTAAAGCGAAATCGACATCTGGTCTGATATATTGAGCAAATATAGATCTTGGATATACGCCCAATTCTCCTAAAACAACACCCTTGCTATCTTTTTTTAAATTGAATATTTTACTTATATTTTCATCTTTTGATAATGGATAATTGTTATAGGGTGATAATGAAAAAGATTGTGGTAAATTTCCCAATTGTACCATATAATCTCCACTTGGTAACGAATCGAAAAAGTAATAACCTTTCGAGTCAGTAGTAACCTGTTGAACCATGTTACCCTTATTATATTTGGCTGGAGAACCATCTTGATTTAACAATGTTACCATTACATTGGAGGCTCCAATATCATTTTGATCAAAGACACCATTATTATTATAATCGAAAAATATTCTTTTTCCAATTGCGAACAAACCATTTTCATTATGTGAGGGTGTTGGGGTTGGTGGAGTTGTTGGTGATGTTGTAGTTGATGATGGAGTTGGTGATGGAGTGGGTGATGGATGTGGGTTTTTTGGAACTAGACCGGCAAAAATACCACCAACTACAAAATGAGTAGGACAAACATTTGTTGGAATACCCAATAAGTTTTCTGGGAGTGGTGTAAGAGCATTATTATTTCTTTCATGGATTGACAGCATTTTATTGTAGTCTTTAACAGTTGGCGATGGGAATATTACTTTTTTACTGAGGTATTTCGATGTTACTGGAGTGCCATCTAATAAGAATCTTGTATCACCTGGGCTATAATGTGGTAATTCTAATGGAGGGGAATAACCATCTAGATTAACCCAACTATTATCTGTTTTTGCCCAATGGAATCCTTTTATTTTTCCAAAATTTATAACATATGTACCAGGTAGAACATCACTAAAAATAAAATGGCCTTTTTCATCAGTTACAGAAATTGGGATAATATTACCAAAGGTATTTCTTGCAGGTGTATTGTCAATATTATTTAATAATCTAATGAAAAGATTTGTACCAAATTCATGTTCATATTTGTTTTTAATACCATCACCATTTTTATCTATCCATATAAAACCTTCTATATCAAATGTTGTTGTATAAGATTGGCAAGAACCTTCTGTTGGTACACAAAATGGAGTAAAATTACCAGTTCCTTTATTAATGTCTATGCAGGTAAAGTTGATTGGGCAAGAGATATCGTCACAATTATTGACTATAATTGGTGGAGGTAAACCTATACACTCGTCTATGCCATTATATTTAACACATTTGTAACCAGGTGGGCAATATTTACCCTCACAACATTCTTCTGGGTAAAAACACTTTGCCTCACCACAAGGTGTAACCCTACATTCTTTTCCAGGTCTACAATTTTTATATTTGCATGGATCTATAATTGGATAACATCTTGGTAAACCATTTGAATTAATTTGACATTGGTGGTTGTGTGGACATTTAACATTTTTACAAGTATAATCATTATTAATAATTGGAGCACATTTTCTTTGTGATTGCTCATATACACAATGTTGGTTATGTGGGCATTTGAAATCTGAACAATGGTTTTCCTCTCCAATTTCTTTACAATTTAGAGTTTCATCTGTAGAATTAAACCAACAACCATAACCTTTTGGGCACTCAACTACTGAACAATCGTCTTTGTTAAATGGACCTATATCTTTAATGCAGCTTTTAATATTTGTTTCTTTTTCATAACTACAACTGTAACCATTTGGACAGATTAAACTTGAACAACTCTGGTCATCTTTATCATCGATATGATATGCCATTAATTTACATTCTCTTTCACCGGTTTGATTGTTTAAAAAACATTTAAATCCATTGGGACACTGAAGATATTCACAAGTATTATAGTTTATATTTGTGTTTGTATTCTGTATTGGAGATTCTTGCAAATCTATATTTATTTCAATTAAAATGTTTTGATGTAAAAATAAAGTGGTAGATAAACCAAAATTTGAATTCTTATTATTTGCACCAAAACCAACTTGGGTTGTTAGAATATTTGGTTGTGGATTTGAAAAAGTATAAAACCTGTTTTCATTGCATTCTAAACCTTCCCAATAACTAATTTCGTTATTGACTAACCTATAATAACTCCATTTACTTGAGTCGATATTGCCTCCATTTTCAACATAACTAAAAGATGATAACTCTTTTCTTGAATGAACACTGATTTGTTTATTTGAAATTGGAAGAAATTCTAAATTTACTTTCCATTTATTACATAAATTATTTCTGTTGATTATTATTCCTTTTAACACTATATTTCCATTTGAATATTCTTCTAAAAAACTATTATTTTCAAATTCCCATTTTTCTTCTTTACCATAAAAATCATTTGAATAAACTGAAAAATCACCATTTTTTCCACCCAATAAAATATCTTTGTTTGATAACTTTAAAAAATATTTATTGACTAATATATTATTATTATCATTATTTTCTAAATTTAATTCTAATATTTTTCTATTTATTTTATTTTCAAAAAATTCTTGGTGATTATTATATATATGGTTTATGTTGATATTTTGATTATTTTTATAACTATCAATACATTTGCTATTATTATTACTATAATTATTATATATTAATTTGAAATTGTCAAGATAAAATTCATCAATCCATTCATTATTTATTGAAATTGAATCAGTGAAAATTCGAAAACCATTATAAAAATTTGCATCTTCTTTTTTTAATAAAACTCTTCCATTTAACCATTGTTGATATGGTGGACTTCCTTTAAAATTGTCTTCAATTGTATATAAAATCGGTATTCTTTCTCCACAAAAATTATTAATACTATTAATTAATTGAATATTTATTTTTGTAGTAATTTTATTTGGTAAATAAATTTTAAAATTTAATTCCTTAACCTAATATTTTTATAAAAAAAATTCATTGTAAATAAACTATTTTATTAATTTTTTTTTTTTAATTATTTATAATTACATTTTTTGAATTAAATAGATTATGGGGAGAAATAAATTGGATTTTATCATTGATACTAAATGTGTTATTAATTTTAATTGAATATCTTGAATTTGAAAATGTTGGTATTTGATTTTCAAGTGTAAATGATTCTAAATATCCTCTATTGATATCGTTATTGCTAAGATTTATATAATCACTATTTAAATAATCGTCATAAATAGTGATTGATTTTGATAAAACTTTGCACTTGCTATCATGATTTATATTATTGCTATATGAATTATTTAATGAAGAGGTTGGAGAAAATGAAAAGTGTTGATTAAAATGTGGGTAATGATAATATTTAAAACTATTGTTGTTTTTATTTTGTCTGCTATTATAATTATAAGCAACTGTTGCATTATTTATCAATTGTATAATTATTAAAAGTATTATTAAAATTTTCATTTTATTATTGATATGAATAAATGATTGATAATATTACTATATAATATAAAATGAAAATATTATTATTAATATATAATAAATAAATCAATTGAGTATATATGTTAATACAATATTGTAATTACCTTTTTGAATGGTAGTTGTTGATTTTATTATTATTTTTTTCTATTTAAAGATATTTTTTAATGAATAAATATACAACAAAACCTAATTCTTTGTTTTAGGGTATGAGCACACTGTTCGAACTGCTTTAAAATTATTTTTCAGTGTGATAAATTAAAATTTTAAAGGAAAAAAAAAATAAAAAAAATAAAAATAAAAAAAAAAAATAACAATTTAAAAATATGTTTATTAGAATTTTTTTAATATTAAAATTACTAATATATCAATAAAGAATATAAAAAAATTTTCATGATATTACTTTTTATTTAAATTTTTTGTAGTCTAATATTATTCATAAAAGTATCAATATAACAAAAAAAAAAAATATAATAAATTTGAATTAAAATAGAATGGTTCAATAGAAATATTTAATTTATTGGGTGATAGTGAATTAATTGATTATCAAGAAAGAAACCCACTATAACCCCGCCAACACACGAAATATAAATATATACAAATTAAAAGCTTTTTTCAAAAAAAAAAAATTTATATATAAAAACTTATATATAAAAATTTATATATAAAAATATATATATAATAAACACCCACCCACACATCCATACCCACTAAACACTTTACCCCTAAAATACACAATACACACAAATTAGATTTTTATAATAGCCCATCAAATTAATGATTATACATATTAGTTTTTATATTTATTGAAAATTAAAAATAAATTCAAATTTTTAATTTGAAATAAACACCCACAAAAATAATACTCATATAGAGTGGTGTAGGCGTGTATGTTGTTCTTGGTATTGTCGTTAACTCTATAGAGTAATAAATATAAAAATAATAAAGATACACACAAATAAGTGGGAAATAATACACATCTTTTTGTTTTTTTATTTTTATATTTATATTTATTTTTTTTTTTTTTTTGTTTATTGCACCATAGTTTTTTTTAACAATATTGGGGGGATAATAGTGAAGTGTTCTTAAGAAATTCTGTTATTATTTTTTTTTTAACTGTTAAAAATAACAACATATTTTATTATATTTTACAGTTGAAATTGACTATAAATCCATCTTTGTTTTTTTTATAATTAGGTTTAAAAAATCCCAAAACACTTCTTTTGTAATCTCACTTATTATAATGCCCAGACAGTTAAAACAATGATTTGAGTGTAAATAAAAAATGTAAATTCTATGTAATTAAAGAAGAAAAATAAATAAAAAAAAAAAAAAAATTTCAATTAAAATAACATTTATTTATTATTTATTTGAAAAAAAATTTTCTTATAGTTTTTTTTTTAAAAATATATCTTATGAGAAACTGATAAAACAATGAATTTTTTTAATAATTTATATCTAACAGTTAAACATTTTAAATTGAATATTGATTATATAAATACTTTTTAAATACTACTTTTTTTTATTATAATCCAGAGTACCAATATTTTCTTTATAAATAACTAACTAATCTTGAATTAAATGGCCCTATAAAAAAAAAAAAAAAAAAAAAAATTTATTTATTAGTTTTTATTTATATTTTTTTTTTTTTGTTATTTATATAAAATGGTAATTAATAGTTATATTTTTTTTTTAATATGCACTACTATTTAAAAATTTAGGTTTATATCTCAAAAAAATAAATCTAAAACATAAATCTTTTTTTGGGCTTTTATTTTTAAAAAATTGCTTAAAATAAAAAAAAATTTTGTTGATAATAAATAAATAAAATTTTTTTATTTTTTTTTTTTTAATGATATTTTGAGAAAATGTTTTGAAATAATCGATAAATGAAATAAATAAATAAAAAAATAATAAATAAATAAAATTTTTTTTTATTATTATTTGTTTTTTGTGTAAATATGCACATTAT